GTAGCAGTAATACACGTGTCCTGGGGTAGCAGTAATACACGTGTCCTGGGGTAGTAGTGATACACTTGTCTTGGGGTAGCAGTGATACACGTGTCCTGGGGTAGCAGTAATACACGTGTCCTGGGGTAGCAGTGATACACGTGTCCTGGGGTAGTAGTGATACACTTGTCTTGGGGTAGCAGTGATACACGTGTTCTGGGGTAGTAGTGATACACTTGTCTTGGGGTAGCAGTGATACACGTGTCCTGGGGTAGTAGTGATACACTTGTCTTGGGGTAGCAGTGATACACGTGTTCTGGGGTAGTAGTGATACACTTGTCTTGGGGTAGCAGTGATACACGTGTCCTGGGGTAGCAGTGATACACGTGTCCTGGGGTAGTAGTGATACACTTGTCTTGGGGTAGCAGTGATACACGTGTTCTGGGGTAGCAGTAATACACGTGTCCTGGGGTAGCAGTGATACACGTGTCCTGGGGTAGCAGTGATACACATGTCCTGGGGTAGCAGTGATACACGTGTTCTGGGGTAGCAGTGATACACGTGTCCTAGGGTAGCAGTGATACACGTGTTCTGGGGTAGCAGTGATACACGTGTCCTAGGGTAGCAGTGATACACGTGTCTTGGGGTAGCAGTTATACACTGGTCCTGGGGTAGCAGTGATGATACACGGGTTCTGGGTGATGGCTAGCCGTACCTGGGGTAGCAGTGATGATATAAGTGTCCTGGATGATGGCTAGCACTACCAGGGGTAGCAGTGATGATACAAGTGTCCTGGATGATGGCTAGCACTACCTGGGGTAGCAGTGATGATACAAGTGTCCTGGACGATGGCTAGCACTACCTGGGGTAGCAGTGATGATACAAGTGTCCTGGATGATGGCTAACACTTCCTGAGGTAGCAGTGATGATACAAGTGTCCTGGATGATGGCTAGCACTACCTGGGGTAGCAGTGATGATACAAGTGTCCTGGATGATGGCTAGCACTACCAGGGGTAGCAGTGATGATACAAGTGTCCTGGATGATGGCTAGCACTACCTGGGGTAGCAGTGATGATACAAGTGTCCTGGACGATGGCTAGCACTACCTGGGGTAGCAGTGATGATACAAGTGTCCTGGGTGATGGCTAGCACTACCTGGGGTAGCAGTGATGATACAAGTGTCCTGGATGATGGCTAGCACTACCTGGGGTAGCAGTGATGATACAAGTGTCCTGGATGATGGCTAGCACTACCTGGGGTAGCAGTGATGATACAAGTGTCCTGGACGATGGCTAGCACTACCTGGGGTAGCAGTGATGATACAAGTGTCCTGGGTGATGGCTAGCACTACCTGGGGTAGCAGTGATGATACAAGTGTCCTGGGTGATGACTAGCACTACCTGGGGTAGCAGTAATGATACAAGTGTCCTGGATGATGGCTAGCACTACCTGGGGTAGCAGTGATGATACAAGTGTCCCGGATGATGGCTAGCACTACCTGGGGTAGCAGTGATGATACAAGTGTCCTGGATGATGGCTAGCACTACCTGGGGTAGCAGTGATGATACAAGTGTCCCGGATGATGGCTAGCACTACCTGGGGTAGCAGTGATGATACAAGTGTCCCGGATGATGGCTAGCACTACCTGGGGTAGCAGTAATGATACAAGTGTCCTGGGTGATGGCTAGCACTACCTGGGGTAGCAGTAATGATACAAGTGTCCTGGATGATGGCTAGCACTACCTGGGGTAGCAGTGATGATACAAGTGTCCTGGAAGATGGCTAGCACTACCTGGAGTAACAGTGATGATACAAGTGTCCTGGATGATGGCTAGCACTACCTGGGGTAGCAGTGATGATACAAGTGTCCTGGATGATGGCTAGCACTACCTGGGGTAGCAGTGATGATACAAGTGTCCTGGATGATGACTAGCACTACCTGGGGTAGCAGTAATTATACAAGTGTCCTGGATGATGGCTAGCACTACCTGGGGTAGCAGTAATGATACAAGTGTCCTGGGTGATGACTAGCACTACCTGGGGTAGCAGTAATATATACAAGTGTCCTGGTGATGCTAGCACTACCTGGGGTAGCAGTGATGATACAAGTGTCCTGGATGATGGCTAGCACTACCTGGGGTAGCAGTGATGATACAAGTGTCCTGGATGATGGCTAGCACTACCTGGGGTAGCAGTGATGATACAAGTGTCCTGGATGATGGGTAGCACTACCTGGGGTAGCAGTGATGACACAAGTGTCCTGGATGATGGCTAGCACTACCTGGGGTAGCAGTAATGATACAAGTGTCCTGGGTGAAGACTAGCACTACCTGGGGTAGCAGTAATGATACAAGTGTCCTGGATGATGGCTAGCACTACCTGGGGTAGCAGTGATGATACAAGTGTCCTGGATGATGGCTAGCACTACCTGGGGTAGTAGTGATGATACAAGTGTCCTGGATGATGGCTAGCACTACCTGGGGTAGCAGTGATGATACAAGTGTCCTGGATGATGGCTAGCACTACCTGGGGTAGCAGTGATGATACAAGTGTCCTGGGTGATGGCTAGCACTACCTGGGGTAGCAGTAATGATACAAGTGTCCTGGGTGATGACTAGCACTACCTGGGTAGCAGTAATGATACAAGTGTCCTGGTGATGACTAGCACTACCTGGGGTAGCAGTAATGATACAAGTGTCCTGGGTGATGGCTAGCACTACCTGGGGTAGCAGTAATGATACAAGTGTCCTGGGTGATGGCTAGCACTACCTGGGGTAGCAGTAATGATACAAGTGTCCTGGATGATGGCTAGCACTACCTGGGGTAGCAGTGATGATACAAGTGTCCTGGATGATGGCTAGCACTACCTGGGGTAGCAGTAATGATACAAGTGTCCTGGGTGATGGCTAGCACTACCTGGGGTAGCAGTGATGATACAAGTGTCCTGGGTGATGGCTAGCACTACCTGGGGTAGCAGGTGCTGTACATTGTTGACATATGTCTGACTGTTATTAAGTATTGTGAAGAAATATACTTGAGAATTTTGTTTCAAACAATTTCACACAGACGTAACACTGGCAAGAGGATTGCCCATCACCATACCATACACTGGTGTAACGAAATGAGACATCTATTAACACAGGCATCTACCAGAGAAAACTAGAAGGTCAACTTATTGCTGCTCCATCTAGCTGGCTTTGTAACACTTTATTTGTAAGAATTCCATACCTATTACCCTGTACGTCCCATAGTGCTTTTAGATTGTTTATGGGGTTACAGCTGGATAAAATCTTACCATTAGAGGAAAGTTTGGAAACTTTAATAGCAAAAATGTGTCTAGGCTTATTAATCACAGTTTAGCATAAACTTACACGACTTGGTATATTAATGTAACACTGTATATTAAAGGGGGTGGACCGGTAAGTCAGCGAAAAGCCTCGGTCAGATGGCCAAAGTTCTAGCAGCGGGTCATCATATGACTAAGACCCACGTCAGGAAACACTTGTCCTGTTTCCTGACAAACCTTACCTGTGGAAGTAAATGGTATAAAATACCGACACAATGGAAATATAAACACATATGCAGTATAATGTGATCCTTTATTGACAACGTTTCGCCCACACAGTGGGCTTTTTCAAGCCACAAACAGATCTACCTGGGGTGGAAGGTACGCGAGTATTTATAGTCAGGTTCAGAATACTGAGGTCAGGTGGAGAAAGCTGCATCTGATGATGTACCGAGTGGGGTATAAAGTCTAAAATCTTGGGTAGCTTAGTAGGGAGATTGGGTAAGTTTGTGAGCAGACCTTCTGCAGTGTTCTCCCATTCCTATGCTCTTATGTGGGATAGCGATGAAGAAGTTTCTTGGCAAGTGGTTCAGCTATGTTATAGAAGCCATTGTTCTGGCTGAAGTTGTTGGATATAGAGATAAGAGATGATTCCAGGATTCTTCGGTATTGAGTGTTGTCTTCTGTGGCGATAAGTCTTGAGTTTCTGTAGTTTATTAAATGGTTGTGTGAATTACGGTGTTGTACACAGGCATTCCTTTTATCGTCAGACCTGCTTGCGTATTGGTGTTCTGAAATACGTGTTTGGAGGTCCCTTGATGTTTCGCCCACGTATAATTTGCTGCAGCAAATTATACGTGGGCGAAATCAAATCCCAAATTACTAATTGAGTCCAGCGACTTCCAAGCCCCGACTACGACAGTGCGTAGATGCCACTCAGAGCCAATTAGGTCTTGAGTTAGAGACGGGACCTGCAGTGTCTTACAACATAACCTCAGAAAACGTCAGAAATCACTAGCTCTAGATGCATGTTCCGGCTCACCAACGGAAACATACTCTACCAGAAAACAATCTAAATGGAACGAACAGAGAAGAACAGCGTTCTCTCAAACAGTAGAGAGAGGAGTGGAGGTGTTGCCTCGACTAGTTCCAGCCAGAGAGAGCTGCTGTAGCAAGAACACTGCAGGCGCATCATTACACCTACCAGCTCACCACACGCCCCAGAAAATAAGTGATCAAGAAGTTTGCAGCGCGGGTAGCCAGTCGAAACTTACAGTGAGCCCAGAGTGTAGAGTAGTTGTTACGTCGTACCTATATACGTAGCTAAACATTACCTCTCAGTCCATAGCAGGATTGGAACCTGTAAACTTGGCATCAGAGTAAACAATACTTTACCCACACAGCTTGACTGGCTGTGTGGATAAAGTACTGTGTACTCGAATATAGTATTTACAGGTTCAAATTCTGCTTTGGACTGAGAGATAATGTTTGTAGCTCAAGATATATAACAACTAATAATATAAAGCATCATATTTCGCTTTAACTATTGATGAAAATAACAAAAGCAACACAATATTATACGAAAGAAACACTGAAGATTTATTGCGTCATTTTTTTTTGGAAAACGCCACAACTGTTGTGTTGAATTCATAGTTAAACACAAAATATTCATTGATAATATTGTCTGAATGAGCTTTAAGAAGGTGGATCATAGAGAATAGTGTGATACACTGGCAGAGTTTTCCAGGGAGATAAGTTGACCGGTGTTTTTCGTCAACAGATGCGTGCGACGGTGCAGGCTTGGTCACAGGTGGTGGGCAGCAGAGTACGTCGCCTGCTGCTGGTGTTGCTGGTTATCACTCTCTTCCTCGCATCACAGATCCTCACTCATCATTACCGTCCAGGTGAGCCCAGGTGTACCGTAGGTGAGCCCAGGTGTACCGTAGGTGAGTCCAAGTGTACCGTAGGTGAGCCCAGGTGTCTGGAGCACAAACTTTGTCTTCTCAAACAACCCTAGGCAAATCAGCAGAGGGATCAGGAACTGTAGCTCAACACCCTCAAATATATATATATATATATATAAAATATATATATATATATATATATATATATATATAATATATATAAAATATATATATATATATATTATATATTTGCAAAATAGCTACTGTATCAAGATTTTTAAGAACAACTTTGATTTTAAACTGTAAAGTAGAGACGGTATATCAAGAAGGTTTTCATGGTAAGGGAGAACCAACATATTCTTGGTTGAATATATTTGTTCTTTTTCGAACTGTAAAGAATATTTCTGACAATTTGAAAAATCGTAGGTCTACCAACCTACTTATAATAGGCTGGTAGACAGTAACCACCCAGGCCTAATAGCCTGCACACCTGGTTGTAGCAAGATAACCAAAGTAGGAATGGGAAAAAGGCAACAGAGAGAGTAAGCACTTATATTTCCTTCACCAAAAAGTAATCAGGTATGTACAATATATACAGTGGATATGTACAATAAGGCAAATGCAAGCAAGAGACACGGTGAGAACCGTAGCGATCAGACTGGGAGGTAAGTCTTCCAAGGTTGAATGACGAGTGTACCACATCGCTTCACAACTTTTGCGGGTTTCCCTGTCATTGTCTGATTGAACCAAGATACTGACATAACTATGCCCCCCCCCCTACTTGTTATACCCTTAGTACCTGGTTCACCGGTCGGGAAGGCATGCCTATATGGGTGTGTAACTTACGCCAAATAAAATGTATCATACTCTTAGCATGACGCAAGAGGTAACAGATATGTCAGATCATTATTTAGTTGTAGCTACAGTTAGAGTAAGAGGTAGATGAGATAGAAGGAAAATGGCATCAGGAAGTAAGAGAGAGGTGAAAGTTTATAAAGTAAGGAAGGAAAAGTTAGGGTGAGATATAAGCAACAATTAAGAGAAAGGTGGGTAAGTGAGAGTATAGGTAATATAGGGGTTAAAGAGGTGGGCGATAATTTTAAAATACAGTGCTAGAATGTGGGGCAGAAAATTGTGGATATAGGTGGGTGTTTTTTCTTGAAAGATTATTGTCTGGTGTGAATTTTAATTGTTTCTAACGATACCTTAGCAATACAGTTTATCAGAAAAGTTGGGCAGTGATGCGTTGTTATCTGTAATCATTCCTGATATGAAAGAGGCAACAAACCAGTTGGCTTGGTCTGTGGGGTTTAAAGTTTATCGACTATAATAGGATGTTAATGACCCTGGAGTTTACCTGAAGAGGGTTTCGGGGTCAACGCCCCCCGGGACCCGGGACCCGGTCTGAAACCAGGCCTCGTGGTGGATCAGGGTTTGATCAACTAGGCTGTAACTGCTGGCCGCACGTAAACCGACGTACGAACCGCAGCCCCGTTGATCAGGTACTGACTTGAGGTGCCTGTGTAGTCGATAGGCTGCACGTAACCTTTCCACCACCAGTAGAGAAAACTTTAATATCTAAAATATGGATTAAAGTGAACTCTAAACTGAGAGACAAACACCTCCCGGTGTACAGCTCCGGAGCCCAACAAATATGACAGTGACTGCTTCTTAAGATATTTACATCTGATGAGATTACCAAGACTGATGTTAAAACTTGCTAAGTGTCAGGGACTGCGTGTGTTAGCAAACTAAGTAAGATAAGATAAGATAAGAGATAAGATTTCGTTCGGATTTTTAACCCCGGAGGGTTAGCCACCCAGGATAACCCAAGAAAGTCAGTGCGTCATCGAGGACTGTCTAACTTATTTCCATTGGGGTCCTTAATCTTGTCCCCCAGGATGCGACCCACACCAGTCGACTAATACCCAGGTACCTATTTGCTGCTAGGTGAACAGGACAACAGGTGTAAGGAAACGTGTCGAAATGTTTCCACCCGCCGGGAATCGAACCCGGGCCCTCCGTGTGTGAAGCGGGAGCTTTAGCCACCAGGCCACCGGGCCTGTAAATACCTCTGTAAATACCTCTGTAAATACCTTTGTAACTTGTCATGATTGTGTCCAGATCTACCTGGAGTTCATTACCTCTGTAACTTGCTCAGCTATCAAAACTTTGTGGCCCAGTCCCTGGACCCATTATGAACCTCTGTAATTTTTTGACTACCGTCCACAGGATGGGTATGTGGTACATAATAAACATAGTAAACTAACAACCTCTGTGCCTCTTGTGGTACCTGATGATAGTGTAACTGGAAAGTCGCAGGTACTGTAGATTACGACACCTGTGACTTTCACGTCAGGTTTACAGGTGTAAATAGCTGAGTATTGATGAAGGCTTAATATTATGTATGTCTTTTTTAACCGGGTCTCTCTTAATATTATGAGAGAGGAGTTTTGACCACCGACTCAAGGAGCACAATAAAATCTGTACATTTTAATAGAACCCGAAGTGAAATATCACTTTGTTTGGTAATTTACACAGTTGTTAGTATGTAAAACACTTATAACCATGTAAAAAAGGTATAATGTAAATATACTAACTCAATGTTTCCTTAGAGATCTTTGGTTTTAGTTGAAAAATTAACTTAATACTTTCCATTAGTAAGCAAGTTTACTTAGTTACTGGTACAATCATACATAGTTTAACACAAGTGTAAATTACCTAAGTTACCCCCCAAAAATCAGACAATATTATTCATTTCCATCGGGATTCTCTGTGGGAGTCTCGAGGTTATGTAGCCAACTTTTTTATCTATTCCAGCTACATAGGCAATGTTATATGTGAAGATACAGTGAACAAGGCTAACATTCAATTCCAAAATTCAGTCGAGTGTAATTTTTTTTTAATAAATTAGTGGTCAACTTAAGGGAGACTAAGTTATTTTTTTCGATGGGCGAAGTACAACAGAAAACGACAAGGTACATATCATGGTAAACTGTAACAATAAGTAAAACCCGCTGAGGTTTGTCAGTTTAGTGGGTTTAAGGCTCGTCAGCTGCGTAATGATGAATAAGACACTTATTTAACGCCTTCTCATCTTCGTTTCCCAAACATTTTGTCTACGCAGTAAGCTTCTTCAGTTGAATACAAAGGAGACAAGAGAGGAGAGGTAGAGACTATTTAATCAATCCATCAACCTTGAGGAAGCGTGTACCATGATAATGATACTTAATGCTCGTTAAGGTTCCATGTCACCTTTGCTTTCAAAAATTTAAAACTAACTTCGAATAATTTCTGTGTATATATGCCGAGAAATACATACCTTAGATTTTGTTCAGATTTTTAATCTAGAGGGTTAACCACTTATGATGACTCATTAAAGTCAGTGTCATCAGAGACTGTTTTATCAGGTATCCACGAAGGACAACCATTAACAGGTTGCCTCATTTTGTATTTCTTCCTTCAATTTTACAATGTTATGCCGTTCGTAACTCGAGAATGCCTCATCCAATTGCCTTCAAATTTTTAACACTTGTGTACGATAACAAGGACTAAATTCTAGGAACAATATGTACGTTCAGGCGCCCTAGGATCAAAGTTACTGGAGACATTCCCAGCATCCTGGAACGACTGTGATAACTTCTTCATGGTTAAGTTCAAAAGACACGAAGTAACATAATAACATAATTGAGGATGTAGATGATAATGTTTCGCTCCAGGTATCCATGATCACCTTGCTAAATTAAACGGTATTCGAATGAATTACGTTATATATGCGAGAATAGATTACCAGATGTCAGATAAACTCTGAGGATAGTTCCACATAATACCATAAGAATGTGAGAACGTTCCTCAGGTATCCACGAGGTACAACCAACTCGGTGTCCATATATTAAGTATTCTATTTCCGATAGTTAGAATGGTATGCCAGTGTACCCAGGACCTAAATCTGTTTCTAATAATACTTGTAGTACGATAAACAGGTAATCTAAACAAATGTACGTCAGGCCTAGTTTATTACCCAGATCAAGATGTAACGCATACTCCATAATCCTCAGTGGAACAGTTTCAAAAAACTTCACAGAAGTTACCAAAAAAAAAAAAAATGAGGATGAAGAGTGAAGCTGAGCAGTGTTGCTGCAGACTTGACCAGGATAATACCCAGGATAGTACCCAGGATAGTACCCAGGATAAAACTCTGGATAGTTCCCATGATATTACCCAGGATAAAACTCTGGATAGTTCCCAGGATAGTACCCAGGATAGTAACTCTGATAGGTTACCCAGATAATTACCCAGGAAGTAAATAACTCTGGATAGTTCCCAGGATAGTACCCAGGATAAAACTCTGGATAGTTCCCAGGATAGATATTACCCAGGATAGTACCAGATAACTTGATAGTTCCCAGGATAGACGATACGTACCCAGGATAAACATCTGATAGTTCCAGGATAGTACCCAGGAGAATTAAAACTCTGGATAGTTCTCAGGATAGTACCTAGGATAGTACCCCGGATAAAACCCAGGATAGTACACAGAATAGTACCTAGCATAGTACCAGGAATATACCCAGGATGTAACAGGATAGTACACAGATGTAGTACCCAGATAGTACCAGGATCAGTACCAGTAATACCAGGTAGTACCCAGGATAGTACCCAGCATAGTACCCAGGATAGTACCTAGGATAGTACCCAGGATAATATCCAGGTTAGTACCCAGGATAGTACCCAGGATAGTACCAAGGATAGCACCCATGATAGTACCCAGGATAGTACCCAGGATAATATCCAGGTTAGTACCCAGGATAGTACCCAGGATAGTACCAAGGATAGCACCCATGATTACCTAGGATAGTACCCAGGATAATACCCAGGATAGTACCAAGGATAGTACCCAAGATAGTACCCAGGATAGTACCCAGGATAATACCCAGGAAAGTACCCAGGATAGCACCCATGATAGTACCCAGGATAGTACCCACGATAATACCTATGATAGTACCCAGGATAGCACCCAGGATAACACCCAAGATAATACATATGATATTACCTAGGATAGTACCCATGGAAGTGATAGCACTAACATCCCATGTCATAAAAATCTTTGAGAGGGTTCTAAGAAGAAAGATCGCCACCCACCTAGATACCCATCAATTACACAACCCAGGGCAACACGGGTTTAGAGCAAGTCGCTCCTGCCTGTCCCAACTACTGGACCACTATGACAAGGTCCTGGATGCTGTAGAGGATATATAAAATACAGATGTTGTATACACAGACTTTGCAAAAGCTTTCGATAAGTGTGACCATAGTGTAATAGCACACAAAATGCGGGATAAAGGAATAACGGGGAAAGTTGGTAGATGGATCTACAACTTCCTGACAAATAGAACACAAAGAGTAGTAGTAAACAGAGTAAAGTCTGAGGCAGCCATGGTAACAAGCTCTGTTCCACAAGGCACAGTACTCGCTCCCATTCTATTCCTCATCCTCATTTCTGACATAGACAGAGATGTAAGCCATAACTCCGTGTCTTCCTTTGCGGATGACACCCGGATTACCATGGCAGTGACTTCCATCGAAGACATCGCGAGACTCCAAGCAGACATCAACCAGCTCTTCAAATGGGCCACTCAAAACAATATGAAGTTCACGAGGAGAAATTTCAACTACTCAGATATGGGAAACTTGAAGAAATTAAAAATGTGTCATGGTGTACCATAAATTCTAACCATACAATAGAGCGAAAAAGTAATGTGAAGGACCTGGGATTGATAATGTCAGAGAATCTCACCTTCAAAGATCACAACAATGTATCTACCTCACTTGCTAGGAAAATGGTAGGATAGATAATGAGAACCTTCAAAACTAGGGACGCCAAGCCCATGATGATTCTCTTCAAATCGCTTGTGCTCTCTAGGCTGGAATACTGCTTTACACTAACGGCCCTCTTCAAGGCTGGCGACATTGCAGACATGGAGAGTGTACAAAGAACTTTCACGGCACACATAAGTACGATAAAGCACCTAAACTACTGGGAACGGTTGAAGGTCCTTGATCTGTATTCCCTCGAACGCAGGCGAGAGAGATATATGATAATATACACTTGGAAGGTCCTGGAGGTATTGGTACCAAACCTACACACGAAAATCACTCCCTATGAAAGCAAAAGACTCGGCAAGAGATGCAACACAAAACAATAAGTGTCAGGGGCCCAAGACTGTTCAATTGCCTACCAGCATAGATGAGGGAGGTTACCAATAGACCTCTGGCTGTCTTCAAGAAGGCACTAGAGAGGCACCTAAAGTCAGTACCTGACCAACCGGGCTGTGGTTCGTACGTAAGCCTGGTTGATCAGACCCTGATCCACCATGAAGCCTGGCCTCAGATCGGGCCGCGGGGGCGTTGACCCCCGAAACCCTCTCCAGATAAACTCCAGTGACATAACTGGAGAATGACTCATCCGATTGGCTTCAAATTTTGAACACACACAAGCTTTACGCTGCTGTTGGCTGCCCTGAATTCCAATTTCCCAATTTTAGTGAATAAATAGTGATTTTTCGTATTTTTATTTATATATGCATATACACACACATATACATTTATGTACTCATATTATCTGCACTTGCATACAGAAATTATTACACACAGACATACACACGTATACATAGTCGTATATTTTTACTCTACTGAAATTTTATGACCACCTTCCACTATTTTGTTATTGCATACACTGAGGTAGAGGAGGCTGGGCTTGTGGAATACAGGGATACCTCTCTGGGACCCGTGCAGCGAGAGAGATACATCTGGTCGTAAACTTTTGGTCTTCTAGTCGTCGAGATAGTTTCAAGATCATCCATCGCAGCATTGAATGATGTCACTATAGATCTGTGTCCTGGAGACAGTTCAGTATCAGAGAGACACTTTCTCTGACTTCAGTCTTCCTTACTCTACTTTTCTTCTCAGTATTTTATATGTCGTTATCATGTCCCCCGTATCTCCAGTGTGTTCAGGTCGATTTCCCTTAACCTCTCCTGGTAGGACATACCCTATAGCTCCGGGACTAGTCTTGTTGCTAACCTTTGCACTTTCTCTAATTTCTTGACGTGTTTGACCAGGAGTGGGTACTCCAATATGGACCTGACGTGTGTGTGTGTGTGTGTGTGTGTGTGTACTCACCTAGTTCTCACCTAGTTGAGGTTGCGGGGGTCGAGTCCGAGCTCCTGGCCCCGCCTCTTCACTGATCGCTACTAGGTCACTCTCCCTGAGCCGTGAGCTTTATCATACCTCTGCTTAAAGCTATGTATGGATCCTGCCTCCACTACATCACTTCCCAAACTATTCCACTTACTGTCTACTCTGTGGCTGAAGAAATACTTCCTAACATCCCTGTGATTCATCTGTGTGTGTGTGTGTGTGTGTGTGTGTGTGTGTGTGTGTGTGTGTGTGTGTGTGTGTGTTTACAAGTCTTTTATTTAGGTTCCATACATAATTTTAGATTTTACAGTAAATTAAGTAACCCCTAAAAAGTCAAAATTTATAACTCATCATATCACTTTGTTTATTGATGCTTTTAAGTGTAAACCGTCCTTAATATTTTTCATTGGTATACTGACTCATTTTTGTCCTTGCTGTTGCCCAGTGTCGGAGGTGGAGGAGGTGAACCAGTCAGGCGAGTTGACGTCGCAACAGCAACAGCAGCAACAGCAGGGAAGACTCAGAGATGAGGTGGATCAGGCAGCACCAACACACCTGACACCAGCTACCGATGTTACAGATACTGATGTGAGATCACCTTCTCTGTCACAGCTCATGGTAGTGTCAAGGAGCTTCGTTACTGCCTTGTGTTACTTAGTGTTTGTGAAATAACTCTTCTCTGCTACTGTCTTATTTATTAACTAACTCTCCCTTGTTATTTCCTTATTTATAATGTAACTATCTCTATTACTTCCTTATTCATAAAGTAACTGTCTGTATAATGTAACTGTTCTTAGTTATTGTTTTAACCGTGGTTTTATTCACAATGTATCTCTCAGTGTATATATCCCGCGCAAAAAAATAAATGAAACTCAATATTAACTCATTTAGTAAATTTAGAATGAGTTTATTAACCTTAGTTAATGATAATGTACGTGACTGTCAGAAGAACTGGTAAGTCAGTGGAAGGTGTGAGTGAGTTAGGTGACTGACAGCTTGGGTGACTGGTCATTGTGTGACTGACACCCAGCGTCGGGTGGCATTTGTCCTCTTTCCTAACGAATCTTGCCTGACTTACACTGAATTTATGTACACTGGACGGTTTCTACTCATTTATGCACGCTCATTATACACTAAGAGGTTTGTATGTCACAGTAAATATACACCAAGAATTGTGTTTTAGTTTATATACACTGCAAGGTGTGTAGATCCCACTGCACGTACACTGAGAGGTATCTGTTAATGTGTATTGAGAAGTGTGTGCCTCTCTCAGAGAACATGCACTTACTGGTATATATTTCTTCGTGTATAAACACAAAGCGTTGTTTATCTCTCAGTAAACATTCGCAGACTTTATGTTAATCGCTATTTCAGGTAGTAAAGTCGGTGTCCAGGTGACTTTACTGACTCATGCGCATTTAATAAAGAATAATTTTAACTGCGTCACTCTCCTTTAGCAGCGGAGGACGATCACCAACGACGAGTCCAGGAGGGAGATGCTAGACCGGCTCTCACAACTTCAGACAAAGGAGTTGCAGAAGGTGATCAGCTTCCTGGACTCCACCAGCGACCCCGCCGCTGTCCATCCCACCAGGATACACCACGCTCTGCAGGTGCTCAAGGTAATTTCTCCTGACGTTTCTCTCAAGGCTTCTCTTCTAGAGTAGACATAGTGGTGTCTTCTTTATCAGGAGTAATTTCTCCCGACTCTTCTTTCAAGGTCTCTTACTGGCTGACAGTCGTACTAGCCAAGCTGTGGGAGCGACCACCAATATTCTTACTGTCAGTATAGATCAAATCATCCAGGTTCTAGGAATGACATGCTAATGTTTTGTTATGCCTTGTTGTTTATGGTCAATACAGACCTTGTCATCCAGCACGTTCTTCAGCCTGTCTGCCAGGCCACACTAACAGACGTCAGAGGGCAGTGTTACTGATTCAGATTTCAGATTTTGCCACCGAAGTGGCTAGTTTATTGTGCACCCCATATCCATCCTGTGGACGGTAGCGCGAGAGCATATGGATACACAAAAGGCCTAGGAACTAGGCCCCAAAGGGTTAACAGGAATACATATGGATTTATATCTACATATCTATAGTTCACTTATCTGTTACAAGCAAATTTAGGAAATTTGCTTAGTATATCTGGTATCTTATTTTCATTAATAAGATATCTTGACATGTCACATAGGTTATTATACTGTCTGTCTGTATTCCTCAATAAGTGGACAATTAAGCACATAGTGTTCAAGAGAGTGACCATATGCCTGATCACATAATTTACATTTAGTTTGATCATCATCTGTGTGTCTCCCAAACTGCCAGAAGTACTTGTAACCAAGCCTAAGCCTGGCCACTACAACATCAGTCAGTCTGTTCACATTGCAAGTTGCTCCATAAACATACTTATCTACGTTCATGTTATCATAGTGGGTTATAGATCTACTCAGGCTTCTAACTGCATTCCTATAACAATCATTTTCATTATTTACTTCTCTCCTAATATTATTCCTAATGCTAGACACAGTTATACCAAAGTTATATTCTACATTCTCCTTCTGGGTACTCTTCTTGGCTAACATATCAACTTTATCATGAAGGAATAATCCAATGTGTGATGGGATCCATAGCAATTGTACATTAATTCGTTTGTCCCTAATTTTTGAGTATCTATACCTGGCTTCTCCAATGAGCATGTTGTTGGAGTCATTATATGAGTCAAGAGCCTTCAATGATGACATAGAATCAGTAATGATGATAGAGTCAAGCTCAGTGTCATAGGTTAGCTTTAGCGCCATTAGGATTGCAAACAATTCAGTTTGCAGTGTAGACGCCCAGTTGTTAATTCTTATGCCTAACTCAACAAATTTATTATCGTTCTTAACTAGGGAGGTGGCAACAAGAGCAGATGCAGCCCTGCCAGAAGACTCCTGTTTAGATCCATCAGTGTATATAACTTGTGATAACTTATTACTACCAGCTAGGTGAGAAATTTCTTCTTGAGCATTTCTGAACAAGAGATTTAAAGGAGGGATTACCTAGCAATGAAGCTTACTTGGAGGGACTTGCAGGTATGTGATATTATACATGACATACTCTTCACATATGAGGGGTGAAATGTCTTTATGCCTACAGTGAAGTACCAGTTCATGCAGGTTAAAAACTTGATGTAATTGCACTTACTCACAAATCCATTTAGATCTGAGTGGTATTTACCTCTAGACATTGGACAAGATTCAAATTGTGACAGGTCGTTCGTTTTCTCAACATTCTAATACGAGTACAGTTTAATCTACAACAATCCTAACACTATACTAGAATTCAAGCTCCTTCCTCATGTAAAACCTTTGTAGATCTGGGACAGCAAGAATAATCCTGAGAGCTTCATTCTTGCAATTACTCATCAGGGCGGAGGGAACCTTCTCTAGCTATGATCAACATGGGAGCAGCATACATATTAAGGACCTAACATAGGCTATGTACAAGTCATCTCACGATCATCACATTAGACATAGTTGGGTTACCGTAGCCAGCAACAGCATTGGAGAGCATTTAGTCTAGCTTTGTACTTTCCTCTACGTGCACCTCCTGACGTGCATCTCTGCAGGCATCTTGCATGTCCACCTCTACTGGACCTCTAGCATGTCTCTAAACTCACTTTCGTCTACATACAATATTATACACAGTGAAATACAGATCAATAAATCAGTCTCGGTGGGTAGGTACCTTCAGTCATGACAGTGACAAGGGTACCTTCAATCATAATAGTGACAAGGGTACCTTTAATCATGACAGTGACAAGGGTACCTTCAGTCATGACAGTAACAAGGGTACCTTCAATCATGACAGTGACAAGGGTAAATTTAATCTGACAGTGACAAGGGTACCTTCAGTCATGACAGTGACAAGGGTACCTTTAATCATGACAGTGACAAGGGTACCTTCAATTACGACAGTGACAAGGGTACCTTCAATCATGACAGTGACAAGGGTACGTTCAGTCATGACAGTGAGAAGGGTACCTTCAGTCATGACAGTGACAAGGGTACCTTCAATCATGACAGTGACAAGGATACCTTCAGTCATGACAGTGACAAGGGTACCTCAGTCATGACAGGACAAAGGTACATTCAGTCATGACAGTGACAAAGGTACCTTCAATCATGACAGTGACAAGGGTACCTTCAGTCATGACAGTGACAAGGGTACCGTCAGTCATGACAGGGACAAAGGTACATTCAGTCATGACAGTGACAAGGGTACCTTCAGTCATGACAGTGACAAAGGTACCTTCAGTCATGACAGTGACAAAGGTACCTTCAGTCATGACAGTGACAAAGGTACCTTCAATCCAGGTGATTGGAATAGTGCAGGGTGAGGCATAAATCGATAATATAGTTCAATATTTTTGTTGAAGATCAGAAGGCAGTCAGAAGACATACATCAGTCATCACATGGAAACTAATACACAACTTTTTTCACTAATAATGATAAATAAGAACATACACAGACCACAACTAATTGAAACCTTTCAAAGAGACTAAAAGACAACAATATCCTAAAATACACAAGCACATTAAGTTTGAAGCCTTTCTGATGGTTTATTATCAAGTTATCAGCATGGAAGAGGTACTCAGAAAAAATGTGTGTTGTGTAGTGTTTGACTGAGTGTGTGTATTGTGTATATCGACAGGTGAGTCTGTTGGAGGAGGTGACGGGAAGGAAGTACACAGACATAATGGAGGCTGCTCACTATGCCCAGCCTCTCTCATCTCACCCAAGACCCAAGATGCTCCAGGTATGTACTCTCTCTCTCTCTCTCTCTCTCTCTCTCTCTCTCTCACGTTCTTGTCACACGGTTTAAGACACTGTTTACAAAAGAAACAAATGCTATTATGTACGAGTCTTAATATACACGGCTTTGATAAGCCAGTCACTGACTGGGTTTCCAGTCCAGAAGGCTTCCTGAGTACTGACACAGCGAGCAGTCTGGAGTCAGAGCTTAATTATGCTTTATACTAAGGAATGGACTGGAGGTCCACCTTAATGTTCTGAAGGAGTCTTGATCCAAGGGCCTGGAGACACTCTTTCCCGACCCCCAGATCAAATCTTATTACCTCACCTTACTCAGAGGTTAACTGCAACAAAAACAACAGCAACAATAATAATAATTAATAATAATAATAATAATAACAATTATAATTATAATAAGAGTGGCATGGTCATCAGGTTGTGATAGCCACTACATGGCGTTCAGGTTCGACCTTCCTGGAGGAACTCCTCGAGTCCCACTCAGCAGTGTACAACCACTACGAGCCCCTCCTTCAGTTCGGCCTCCGACAGATACGTGGAGGAGAAGACTCCCTGGAGGCGCAGAGGATCATACACGACCTCCTTTTCCTGCAGGGGTTTAAAAATAAATTTTAAAAACCCTCCAGGTGTTAAAAATACTTTTTTAAATCATCCAGGGATTAAAATTTAAATTTTCAGTATCCAATTAAAGTAAATCAATTCATTTACATCCTGTAAAAAAATGGAAAAAAACTTCTTTTACGATATATGTTAAAAGACATTAAATTTTTTCAGATGTGTAAAAACACTTTATTTAAATCTTATTTTTTGTAAATACGCTATTTACTTTGCAGGTGTGTAAATCATGGTTTTTTATCCCCGGGATGTAGGGAAAAAAAATACATCGTTTAGTTGTTAAAAAATATTTATAGATTTTATTTTTTTGTCCTGAGGGTTGTAAAATGTTTTTACTTACATTCTACAGGTGTGTTTAAAAAATTTTTTTAAATTCCAGGGGTGTAAAATAAAATTTTTTTACTTTTTAAAGTTATTAAAAAAACTTTCTTTCCACACTGGGGGGAACTACACCCACACCCTTTACCACACACCTTCACCCCACACCTTCACCCCCACACCCCTTTACCAAACTCCCTTAAACCCCACACCTTCACCACACACCTTCACCACAGTGTAACTACACCACCACCTTCCCCCCACAAAACCTTCACCACACACCTTCCCACACTGTAAACACCAAAACACCTTCCCCCACACTGTAACTACAAAAACCCCCACACCCCTTTACCACACTGTAACTACACCCACACCTTCACCACAGTGTAACTACACCACACACCTTCACCCCACCCCCATCACCAACGTAACAAAACCAAACCCCCTTCACCACACAAACCTTTACCCCACACCTTTAAAACACTGTAACTACACCACACACCTTCACCCCCACTGTTAAATACAACCACACAAACCCTTTACCCCACTGTAACTACACCCCACAACCCTAACCACAAATGTAACTACACCACACACCTTCACCACCCCTGTTAAATTTCAACCCCCAAAACCATAACCACCTGTCACTACACCACCACCTTCACCACACGTAACTACACCCCCAACCCCCTTTAAACCCCACTGTAACTAAAACCACACACATCACCACAAAGGGAAATAAAACCCCACACCTTCACCCCCTGTAACTACACCACACACATTCACCCACACCTTCAAACCCCACAAACCCTCACCACACTGTAACCCACACCAAAACCCCCTTCACCCCAAATGGGAACTACACCACAACCCCCATTCACCACACTGGGAACTACAACCCCAAAACCCCCCCACCACCACCTTCCCCCCCAAAAACCTTCCCCCCACACTGTAACTACACCCACACCTTCACCACACACCCTTTCCACACTGTAAATAAAACCACCACCCCTTCACCACACAAACCCTTTACCCCAAATGTAACTACACACCACCTTCCCCCACCTGTAACTAAAACCACACAACCTTCACCACACTGTAACTACACCACACACCTTCACCACACACCTTTACCACACACCTTTACCACAGTTTTAATCACCCACCCACCTTCACCACACAAACCCTTTACCCCCCACACCTTTTACCACACACCTTTTACCACATGTAACTACAAAACCCCACACCTTCACCACAAAATCTTCACCACACTGTAAAATACACCAAAACACCTTCACCACACTGTAAAATACACCACCACCTTCAAACCCCACTGAAATACACCACAACCTTCACCACACTGTAACTACACCACCAAACCCTTCCCCCACACTGTAACTACAACCCAAAAAAAAACCCCCACCACACTGTAACTACACCACACCCTTCACCACACTGTAACACACCCCGCACCTTCACCAAAACTGTAAAACACACCACACAAACCTTTACCACACGTAACTACAAACCAAAAAACCTTTACCACACTGTAAATACAAACCCCGCACCTTTTCCCCACTGAACTAAAAACCCCAAAACCTTCCCCACACTGTAACTAAAAACCACACCAACCTTTCACCCCACTGTAACTACACCAACACCTTCACCCCACCCCCTTCACCACACTGTAACTACACCACGCACCAAAACACCACACTGTAACTACACCCCACAAACCTTTACCACCCTGTAACACACCACACCCTTCACCACACTGTAACTACACCCCACCCCCTTCACCACACTGTAACTACAACCCCAAACCTTCACCCCACCCCTTCACCACACTGTAATACACCACACACCCTTTACCACACTGTAACTTGGGACCACACACCCTTTACCAAAATGTAACTAAACAACACACCTTTACCACAAACTTTACCCAAATGTAAAAATACACCACACCCCCTTCACCCAAAACTGGTTTAAATGCACCAACACCTTCACCACACTGTAAAATACACCAAAACCCCCACCACACTGTTAACTAAAAACCACACACCCACCACACTGTAAAAATACACCACACAAACCCTTTACCACACTGGGAAACTACACCACACACCTTTACCACACACCTTTAAACCCCACTGTAAAAATACACCACAAAACCTTCCCCCACCCCTGTAACTACACCACACCTTCCCCCCCACACAAACCCTCACCACACTGTAACTACACCCCACACCTTCAAACCCCACTGTAATCAACCAACCCCACACCTTCACCCCAAATGTAACTACCCAAAACACCTCCACCACCACCATCCCCCACACTGTAACCCACACCACACAACCCTTTACCCACACTGTAACTAAAAACCCACACACCTTACCACAAAAACCCTTTACCACACTGTAACTTTCAAAACCCCACAAAACCCTTTACCACACACCTTTACCACACTGTAAAATACACCACACACCTTCCCCCACACTGTAACTACACCCCCACACCTTCACCACACACCTTTTACCACACTGTAACTAAACCCCCACACACCTTCACCACAAATGTAAAATACACCCCACACCTTTAAACCCCACAAACCTTTACCCACGGGAAATAAAACCACACAAACCCTTTACCACACTGAAAATAAACCACACCCCCCTTTACCACAACCATCACCTCACTGTAACTAAAACCCCACACCTTCACCACACACCCTTTAGCAAACACCTTCACCACCCGTAACTACAAACCCCACACCTTCCCCCACACTGTAACACACCACAAAACCTTCACCAAAACTGTAACTACACCACCACCTTCACCACATTGTAAAAAAACCACAACCTTCACCACACTGTAACTACAAACCCCACACCTTCACCACCTGAAAATACACCACGCACCTTCACCCCACGGTTTAAATACACCCCACACCTTCACCCACGTTAAATACAAACCCCACAACCCCCACCACACGAATACACCACGCACCTTCCCACACTGTAAATTTCACCCAAAACCCCACCTTCACCCCACGTAAATTCAAACCCCACAACCCTTTACCACACTGTAAACTAACACCACAAAACCCTTTTACCACACACCTTCCCACAAATGTAACTACACCACGCCCACACCACACTGTAAAACACCCCCCCACCTTCACCACACTGTAACTACAACCCCAAAACCTTCAAACCCCAAATGTAACTACACCCCACAAAACCCTTTACCAACCCGTAACTACACCACACCCTTCACCAACACCTTCACCACATGTAAACCCAAACCCCACAACCCTTTACCACACTGTAACTGGCAAACCCCAAACTTTTAAACCACACTTTTAACTACACAACCACCTTTTAAACCCACTTTTTCACCCCCCTGTAAATAAAACCACACCCTTCACCACCCCTGGGAATGCACCACAAAACCTTCCCCCCACACTGAACTACACCCCCACCATCCCAAAACCCGTAACTACACCACCAAAACCATCCCCCACACTGTAACTAAAACCACACACCTTCACCACACTGTAAATCACCACACACCTTCACCACACCAAAACCCTTTACCAACCCCTGTAACTTACCAACCCCAAAACCCCCTTTAAACCCCACGTAACTACACCACCACCCCTTTACCCCACACCAAACACCACACTGTAACTTTCACCACACACCTTACCACCTGTAACAAAACCCACACCTTCACCACACTGTAACTACACCCCCAAAACCTTTTACCACCACCATCCCACACGTAACTACACCCCCCACCTTCAAACCCCCACTGTAAAACCCCACCCCCCACCTTCACCACACCCTTTTAAACCCCACTGTAACTAAAACCCACAAAACCTTCACCACACTGTAACTACAAACCCCAACCCCCCTTTCCCCCACCCCCTTCACCCCACTGTAACTACACCACACCACCTTTTACCCAAAACTGTAACAAACCAAAAAAAAACCCCAAAACCTTCACCCCCACCACCTTCACCACAAATGGAAATAACCACACACCTTCACCACACTGTAAACTAAAAAACCACACACCTTCAAACCCCAACCTTTTACCACATGTAACTAAAAAACCCACCAAACCCTTTACCACCTTTAAAAACCAAACCCCACACCTTCCCACAAAACCATCACCACACTGTAACTACACCACACACCTTCCCCCACAACCCCCTTCAGCCCAAAACCCCTTTACCACACTGTAACCCAAAACCAAAACACCTTCACCACACTGTAAAATACAAACCCCAAAAAAACCCCTTTACCACACACCATCCCCCCAAATTTAAAACTACACCAAAAACCTTTTACCCCAACCCCCTTCACCACACTGTAAAATACCCACCCCCCTTCACCCCCACACCATCACCACACTTTTAACTACACCAAAACACCTTTACCACACACCTTCCCCGCACACACCCTTTACCCCACTTTTAAAATACACCCCCCACACCTTTACCAAAACTGTAACTACAAACCAAAACACCTTCCCCACAACACCATCACCCACCCGTAACTACCCACAAAACCTTCACCACAACCCTTCACCAAACTGTAAAATACACCACACACCTTCACCCCACTGTAACTACACCACACACCTTTTACCACACAAAACCCCCTCACCCCACTGTAAAATTAAAACCCCCCCCAAACCTTCCCCACTTAACTACACCAAAACACCTTAACCCCACACCTTCACCACACTGTAATAAAACCAACACACCTTCACCAACGAACTACAACCCCCACCCCTTCCCCCACAAAACCTTCACCACACGGGAACTAAAACCACAAAACCCTTCACCACACACCTTCACCAAAACTGTAAAAAACAAACCCCCACACCTTCACCACACTGTAACTACAAACCCCACACCTTCACTACACTGTAATACACCACCACCTTCACCACACTGTTAAATACACCACCCCACCTTCACCACCCCCTGTCACTACACCCACACCTTTACCCAAAACTGTAATTTCACCACACACCCTCACCCCCCCCTGTAATAAAAACCACACCAAAAACCCTTTAAACCCCACTGTAACCCCAAAACCCCACAACCCTTTTACCACATGTAACTACACCACCCCAAACCCTCCCCCACACTGTTCACTCACCACACACCTTCAAACACTGTTTAAAAACCCCCCCACACCTTCAACCCCATGTAAAATAAAACCACACACCCTTCAAACCCCAGTGTAAATACCCAACCCCCTTCACCACACTGTAACTAAACCCCAAAACCCACCCACACTGAAAAATACAAAAAAACACCATCACCCCAACCCGTAACTACACCACCACCCCTCACCACACTGTCACTTTCACCACACACCTTCACTACAAATGGTTAAATTCCCACACAAAACCCTTTACCCCCACTGTAACTACACCACACACCTTCAAACCCCAGTGTAATACAAACCCCCACCTTTACCACACGTAACTAAAACCCAACACCCTTTACCACACCCGTAAACAAAACCACACACCCAAAACCACACTGTCCCCTACACCCACACCTTCACTTTCCTGTAACTACACCCCACACCTTTTACCAAAACCCGTAACTACACCACAAAACCTTCACCCCATGTAACTACAACCCCACACCTTTCCCCCCACTGTAAAATACAAACCCCACACCATCACCAAAATGTAACTACCCCCCAAACCCCTCACCCCCCCCACTGTAAAATACACCCCACACCATCACCACACTGTCACTACCCCAAAAACCTTCACTACACTGTAAATTTCACCCACAAACCCTTTACCACACTGTCCCCTACAAACCCCACCCCCCAAATACACTGTAACTACACCACAACCCCCCCCTCACCCAAAACTGTAACTAAACCCCACCCTTCACCCAGTGTAACTACAAAACCCCACACCACAAACCCCCACCCCCACCACACTGTAACCCACAAACCCCAACCTTAAACCCCAAAATGTAACTTTAAACCCCCACACCTTCACACTGTTAAAATACAAACCCCACCCCCTCCCCAACACTGTAACACCCACACACCCTTTACCAAAACCCCGTAACTACACCCCACACCTTCACCCACACCCTTTACCACACACCTTTCACCACACTGTAAAATACACCACACCCCCTTAAACCCCAAAAACCCCCCCCCACACTGGAAAATACACCCCACACCTTCAAAACAACAAATTTACCACACTGTAACTACAAACCACACACCCTTCACTACACCCGTAACTACCCCAACACACCTTCACCACACTTAACTACACCACACACCCCTTAAACCACACACCTTCCCCTCACTGTAACTACACCACGCCCTTACCACACTGTAACCACACCACACACCTTTTACCACACACCTTCCCCACACTGTAACTAACCCCCCACCTTCAAACCCCCCCCTGTAACTACCACCACCCCATAAACCCCACTGTAAAATAACACCACACACCTTTTACCACACTGTAACTACACCACACACCTTCACCCCACTGTAAAATAAAAACCCCCACATATCACCAACACCTTCACCATACACCTTCCAAACCCCACTGTAAAAAAAACCACACAAACCTTTACCACACTGTAACTACAAACCCCACACCTTCACCACAAATGTAAATACACCACACAAACCTTTACCACACCTTGGTTTAAAATAAACCACACAAACCTTTTACCCCCGGGAGCTACACCCCACACCTTCACCAACTGAAAATACACCCCCACACCCTTCACCACATACCCTTCACCACACACCTTCACCACAATGCAACTACTCCCCACTGAAATACAACCCCCACCCTTTAGCACACACCTTTACCACACTGTTTAAATACACCCCCACAAACCCTTTACCCACACCCCTTCCCCCACCAAATGTAAACTACAAAAACACCCATCACCACACCCGTAAAACACAAAGCACACCCTCACCACACTGTAACTAACCCACACACCCCTCAACCCCAAACACCACACCACACTGTAATTCAAAACCCCACACCCTCCCCCAAAAATGTAAAATACACCACACAACCCTCACCACAAAAACCCCTTTACCACACTGTAACTAAACCCTACCCATCACCCCACATTTCAAACCCCAAATGTAAAAACTAAAACCACACACCAACCACACTGTAAATACAAAACCCCCAAAAACCATCACCAACACTGTAAGTACAACCACCAAACCTTTTTACCCACACCTTACCAAAACACCATCACCACACTGAACTACACCATAAAACCATCCCCCCAAACCCCACCCTTTTACCACACTGTAAAATACACCACACACCTTTACCACACTGTAACTACTCCACACACCTTCACCACACATCATTCACCACACGAAAAAATACAACCCCCACACCTTCCCCCACACACTTTTACCAAACACTGTAACTACACCACACCCTTCCCCCAAACACCTTCACCCACACTGTAACTACACCACACACCATCACCACACTTTTAAACCCACCCCTTCCACCCCCACTTCATCACCACACTTAATAAAACCCCACCCTTTACCACACACCTTCACCACACACCTTCACCACACTGTTTTAAATACACCACACACCTTCACCACACTGTAATACACCACAAAACCCAAACACCACACTGTAACTACACCACCCACCTTCACCACACTGTAAAAACAAACCCCACCCCTTCACCACACTGTAAACTAAAAACCACAAAACCCTTTCCCCCACTGTAACTAAAACCACACCCTTCAAACCCCACTGTAACTACACCACACACCCTTTACCCCCACTGTAACTACACCACAAAACCCTTTAAACCCCACCCCCTTCACCACACGTAACTACACCAAAAACACCTTCACCACACAAAACACCAAGCAAACCCTTCCCCCACACTGTAAGTAAACCACACCCTTTTACCACACTGTAACTCACCAAAAAACACCTTCACCATACAACATCCCCCATACACCTTCCCCCACACTGTAAGTACCCCCACACGCCTTCACCCCCACACCTTTTACCACACACCTTACCCAACCCCTTACCACCCCATCACCACACACCTTCACCACACACCTTCCAACCCCACACCATCACCCCAAAACACCATCACCACACACCCCTTCACCACAAAACCTTTTACCCCCACACCCCTTTACCCACACACCTTCACCCACACCATCACCCCACACCTTTTACCACACACCTTCACCCCAAAAACCATCACCCCACACCATCACACACACCCTTTAAACCCCACACCTTTCACCACACAAAAACCCTTTACCCACACCACACCCCACACCCTCAAACCCCAAACCTTCCCCCACACCCCCTTCACCACACACCATCACCACACCCCATCACCACACACCTTCACCCACACCTTCACCACACAAACCCTCACCACACACCTTCACCAACCCCACTATCACCACAACCTTTTACCACACCCCCATCACCACAAAACCATCACCACACAACCTTTTCCCACACCTTCACCACACAAACCCTCAAACACACCATCACCAAACACCCTCACCACACCCCCATCACCACACACCATCAAACCCCACACCATCCCCCACACAAACCCTCCCACCAACCATCACCAAACACCCTCACCACACACCCTCCCCCACACACCTTCCACCCCCACAAACCCTTTTACCACACCCCATCAAAACACCCCCATCACCACACCCATCACCACCACCATCAAAACACACCTTCACCCCCAAAACCTTCACCACACACCTTCCCCCACACACCTTCACCCAAAAACCTTTACCACACACCATCCCCCAAACACACCTTCACCACACCCCCTTCACCCCCAAAACCCCCATCACCACCCCACCATCACCACAACCCCCTTTACCCACACAAACCCTCACCAAAACACCCAACCAAAACACCTTACCCACCCCCTTCCCACACACCCCTCACCACACACCATCCCCCACACACCATTACCACACACCCTCCCACACACCATCACCACACACCAATTTACCACACACCCTCACCCACACCCTTTAAACCCCTCACCTTCCCCCACACACCATCACCCACAACCCTCACCACACCCCTTTAAACCCCACAAACCCTTACCACAAACCCAAACACCACCCCACCTTCACCACACACCATCACCAAAACCCCCCTCAAACCCCACACCATCACCACACAACCATCACCCCACACCATCACCCCACACCTTCACCACACACCATCACCACACACCATCACCACACACCATCACCACACACCATCACCACACACCATCACCACACAGTGCCGATGTTGCCAGTGTAAATTTATGCATCTTTACCTCTTCCACATCACCCCCCCAGGCGCTGTATAATCCTACGGGTTTTGCGCTTCCCTTTTATTATAATAATAATAATAATACTAATAATAATAATAATAATAATAATAATAATAATAATAATAATAATAATAATAATAATAATAATAATAATAATAATAATAATAATAATAATAATAATAATCTACTTCAGGTATTCCGAGCATAAACAGTATCTGACGACGGCACAGAAGATCAAGGAAATGATCTCCCGCAACACCCGTCTCTGGAGCACCTGCAGTACCAAGGAGTGGGGAGACGCACTCTGCTTCAACGATGTCTTCCTGAAGGAGGCCTGCCAACTCTTCCCTTGGGCCACCATGAAGATCGTCAGACTTCGACTGAAGTTTCTTCGGCCCCTGTTGGAGGATGAGAACTTGAACGTCCGCATCGTCTTCCTGGTGAGGGACCCTAGAGGCGTTATGAACTCCCGCACCGACACCGTCAAGTGGTGCACCGCTCCAGACTGTAGTGACCCCAAGGCTCTCTGTACAGATATGGAGGATGACCTCGAAGCAGCTCTCCAACTGCAGAAAGACTTCCCGGGGAAGCTGTACATTCTCAGGTACGAGGACATGTCCCTCAACCCGGTCAATAAGACTCGTGAGTTACTAGACTACACTGGACTAGATTTTGATGCCAAGATGGAGGAATTCCTAGATTCACATACAACTAAGAACCTGGACAAGCCCTGGAGCACCTCCAGAGAATCCAAGACCCGAGTGACTTACTGGGTGTCGAAGCTGTCTTCAATCAAGCTTAAAGCTGTGCAGGGCGCGTGTGATCATGTCATGAAACGCTTCGGGTATTTACCCATAAGTTCCAACAAAAATATTACTGTAGACAGTATACTAGGACCACTTATGTTGACCTAGCCTTAAATAAACTAGGACCACTTATGTTGTCTAAGCCTTAGTGTGGAAAAAAATATTCGATACGATATCCACAGTTAAGGTGTTACTTTGTCAGTCTCAGTATTTAATGTGATGAAGTTTGTGAAGACTAATATAATATATTTTTGTATAGATTAATTGTAATGAGTGACAATTGAAGTACAGTGGTGAACTTGGAGTAATATTCCAGATATACGATAATTCAAGGCTGTGACACAAATATATTTTGGATAATATTAATAATGCTTGATAAGGACTGGGTGCAAGTGTGGTGAGGTGCAAGCGAGTTGTAAATTATTTGTGAACGAGTTTACTGCAGCTCCTCCCACTTTGAAGCCTATTTCCAGCTGCGAGTCGTGAGACAGGTATCCCAGCTGGAGTACACCACGTACACATCAGGTACACACTTGGAGCACAGCTGGGACACAGCTGGGGCGGGCCCAGGAAGTGTTTAGGGTTTCATCCCTACCAGTACCTAGGGAGAGTGGACCATGCTACCAGCACCCTAGGAAGGTGGATCATCCAACCAGTACCCCAGGAGGGTGGACCATCCTACAGTACCCCTGGGGGAAGGTCTGGGATAGCCCCGGGGTTGCTTGTTTTTTTCAATTCTTAAGTTTAAAATGTCCATAAATATATATTTCTATACTCGAAGCAGTGCTAGCAATTTAACTATTACTAACAATTTAACTAGTTCTAATAATTTAACTTGTGCTAACAATTTAACTAGCCCTAACAATTTAACTAGCCCTAACAATTTAACTAGCCCTAACAATTTAACTAGCCCTAACAATTTAACTAGCCCTAACAATTTAACTAGCCCTAACAATTTAACTAGCCCTAACAATTTAACTAGCCCTAACAATTTAACTAGCCCTAACAATTTAACTAGCCCTAACAATTTAAGTGCTAAAAATTTAACTAGTACTAATAATTTAACTAATACTAACAGTTTAACTAGCACTAACAGTTTAACTAATACATACTAACAATCAACGCAAATCAAAAGGATTTTATTTATAGATAACTAAATAAGTACACGTACGCTCTTCTAACTGTAAATAGGCCGACGTAAAATGAATGTAATTGGGTATCTTGATCAAAATGGTAGAAAATTAAAAAAAAATCCGTATAGCATACAAACATACACTCAGCTTGAGTTATTCAAGCATCATTGTTAAGCTTTGTTAAGTCTCTCAGAGGATGTATACACTGGGAGGTGTATTTCAGTGTGTGTGTATGTATACACTGCGGGCTCGCTTTTGTCTCATTTTTTCTTAAGGATTTATGTATTTTTGTTCGGCTGTGCAGCCTTAATGACCCTCGTGTAGTGATAGGCTTGAAATGCCGTTAATTAAGGAACCAACCAGTGGATTCTGATCTACAGGATTAGTAAAATGGTTCACTAACTCCGTTCATCTCAGCTAATATGTCACAGTGGATGTGAGAAGTGGTAGTCAAGCTGTCTACCTGCTTTAAGCAGACAGGTAGTCGTCCCCACCGATACACTGACAGGCTAAGTGACTGATATCAGTAGACTAAGTTGATTAATCAGACCCATGTCATTATACCTCAGTAAGGATGTCATTATACCTCACTAAGGATGTCATTATACCTCAGCAAGTATGTCATTATTCCTTGGTGGAAAATAAATACAAATGCAGTATTATGCATACCTTTATTGACTACGTTTCGCTCACATGGTGGGTTTTATCAAGTCACAAATAGATCTACCTAGAGAGTCAGGTGGAGAATGTTAGGTAGGTTGGATCTGTGAGGAACCTGCCCGAGACGGGCGGGTGTCTTCTGCCCTGGCAATGACTTTTGTGTCTTTATAGCTGACTAAATGCGTGTGGAAATTTCTGTGTAGAACGCAGGCGTTCCTTAAATCGTCCGTTCTGGCTGCGTATTGGAGTCCTGATTATTATTATAATCAAAAAGAAGCGCTAAGCCACAAGGACTATACAGCGAATTGGAGTTCTGAAATACGTGTCTGGAGGTCTCTGGCTCTCTCGCCCATGTATAATTGGTTGCAGTCGTTGCAAGGGATTATGTATACCCCTGCAGAGGATTGAACCTTGTGGTGTCTATTACTGGTGACGTTCTTGAGGGTGTGGATGTAGAGGTAACACTTAAAATGAGGTATTGGATAAGATGTTAGAAACGTGTTTGGCAACGGAATTGGTGGAGAGGACTATGTATCTTCTCTCGGAAGTATCTTGTCTGGGTGAGATATTATGTGCCTGGCGTCTGCAGTCTCGAATGAACCGACGAGGATTTCAACATTCACACTTGCCCGTCCAGTGTAGGTTCGTCACAAACCCAACATTCTCCACCTGACTCTCCACCTGACTCTCCACCTGACTCTCCACCTGACTCTCCACCTGACTCTCCACTTGACTCTCCACTTGACTCTCCACCCTACATATACTCTTGTACTTCTTAACCCAGGTAGATCTGTTTGTGACTTGATAAAGCCAACCGTGTGGGCGAAACGTAGTTAATAATGGATCGCATTATACTGCATTTGTCTATATTTGTCCATCGTGTCGGTATTTTCTACCATTTATCTCCATGCATCATTATACATTATTAAGAATGTCTCTAGAAATATATATTTGACATTAGACATAATTCTGGTTCACGTACATGACATTATGCATTAACGCAGCTATAGGAAGTAACCACGTCACTTTCACTCGGTAAACACGTCACTTTCACTGGGTAAATGCGCCACTATCATTCTAAAGCACACAGTTCTGTGCCTGCAGTATAGTCGCTGTCATCTTAAAAATCCCTTGTCAAGAACTTCTTGTAATTGCTGCCAGAGGAGCACCATGGCTGAGTGTACATCCGAACCGACCGAAACGTCGTCGTAAGCTCCTCTCTCCTATGTGCGGGTTATTTGTGTATTGTTCCAGTCATGGTATTGTGCCTTTTTGTTATTTAGTTGAGTGCACTTGTTGTGTTCACTAGGTGAGTGCACTTGTTGTGTTCACTAGGTGAGTGCACTTGTTGTGTTCACTAGGTGAGTGCACTTGTTGTGTTCACTAGGTGAGTGCACTTGTTGTGTTCACTAGGTGATTGCACTTGTTGTGTTCACTAGGTGAGTGCACTTGTTGTGTTCAATAGGTGAGTGCACTTTGTTGTGTTCACTAGGTGAGTGCACTTGTTGTGGGTTTACTAGGTGAGTGCACTTGTTGTGTTCACTAGGTGAGTACACTTGTTGTGTTCACTAGGTGAGTGCACTTGTTGTGTTCACTAGGTGAGTACACTTGTTGTGTTCACTAGGTGAGTGCACTTGTTGTGTTCACTAGGTGAGCGCACTTGTTGTGTTCACTAGGTGAGTACACTTGTTGTGTTCACTAGGTGAGTGCACTTGTTGTGTTCACTAGGTGAGTGCACTTGTTGTGTTCACTAGGTGAGTGCACTTGTTGTGTTCACTAGGTGAGTGCACTTGTTTGTGTTCACTAGGTGATACACTTGTTGTGTTCACAAGGTGATACACTTGTTGTGTTCACTAGGTGAGTGCACTTGTGTTCACTAGGTGAGTGCACTTGTTGTGTTCACTAGGTGAGTGCACTTGTTGTGTTCACTAGGTGAGTGCACTTGTTGTGTTCACTAGGTGAGTGCACTTGTTGTGTTCACTAGGTGAGTGCGCATGTGTTCGCTGCGTGATTGCACTTGTGTTCACTAGGTGAGTGCACTTGCTGTGTTCACTAGGTGAGTGCACTTGTTGTGTTCACTAGGTGAGTGCACTTGTTGTGTTCACTAGGTGAGTGCACTTGTTGTGTTCACTAGGTGAGTGCACTTGTGTTCACTAGGTGAGTGCACTTGTTGTGTTCACTAGGTGAGTGCACTTGTTGTGTTCACAAAGGTAAGTGCCTTGTTGTGTTTTCTAGGTGAGGGGCACTTGTTGTGTTCACTAGGTGAGTGCACATGTGTTCACTAGGTGACTGCACTTGTTGTGTTCACTAAGTGAGTGCACATGTGTTCACTGGGTGAGTGCACTTGTGTTCACTAGGTGAGTGCACTTGTTGTGTTCACTAGGTGAGTGCACATGTGTTCACTGGGTGAGTGCACTTGTGTTCACTAGGTGAGTGCACTTGTTGTGTTCACTAGGTGAGGGGCAAATTGTTTTTGTTCACTAGGTGAGTGCACTTGTTGTGTTCACTAGGTGAGTGCACTTGTTGTGTTCACTAGGTGAGTGCACTTGTGTTCACTAGGTGATTGCACTTGTTGTGTTCACTAGGTGAGTGCACTTTTTGTTTACTGGGTGAGTGCACTTGTGTTCAAATAGGTGAATGCACTTGTGTTCACTAGTGAGTGCACTTGTGTTCACTAGGTGAGTGCACTTGTGTTCACTAGGTGAGTGCACTTGTTGTGTTCACTAGGTGAGTGCACTTGTTGTGTTCACTAGGTGAGTGCACTTGTGTTCACTAGGTGAGTGCACTTGTTGTGTTCACTAGGTGAGTGCACTTGTTGTGTTCACTAGGTGAGTGCACTTGTTGTGTTCACTAGGTGAGTGCACTTGTGTTCACTAGGTGAATGCACTTGTGCTCACTAGGTGAGTGCACTTGTGTTTACTGGGTGAGTGCACTTGTGTTCACTAGGTGAATGCACTTGTGTTCACTAGGTGAGTGCACTTGTGTTCACTAGGTGAGTGCACTTGTTGTGTTCACTAGGTGAGTGCACTTGTTGTGTTCACTAGGTGAGTGCACTTGTGTTCACTAGGTGAATGCACTTGTGTTCACTAGGTGAATGCACTTGTGTTCACTAGGTGAGTGCACTTGTGTTCACTGGGTGAGTGCACTTGTGTTCACTGGGTGAGTGCATTGTGTTCACTAGGGGGAAAGCACTTGTGTTCACTAGGTGAGTGCACTTGTGTTCACTAGGTGAGTGACTTGTGTTCACTGGGTGAGTGCACTTGTGTTCACAGGTGAATGCACTTGTGTTCACTAGGTGAGTGCACTGTGTTCACTGGGTGAGTGCACTTGTGTTCACTGGGTGAGTGCACTTTGTTCACTAGGGGAGTGCAAATTGTGTTCACTGGGTGAGTGCACTTGGTTCACTAGGTGAATGCACTTGTGTTCACTAGGTGATGCACTTGTGTTCACTGGGTG